AAACCCTGAGCCATCGACGCTATGGAATCAATTATTGAGAAAGGATAAATTATTGAGTTTATCTCAGCCATTTATGCATACTAATTTCATCTAAATACTGACATCAAATATTATAATTTATCTTTGCCCCTTTTTACCTTATGTTTAATTTATCATTTTGTATTCCGTTTTCATTGTTTATACATGTTTCAAACAGCCGCCCATCAATCTCAGTGGCTTGGTGGCGAGAGGTAATCAGATTAGCTGCAGCCACCGCTTTGTCGGTCTGCTCTGACGTCATCCATCAACCAACCCTTCCTTAAACCAGACGTTACAAAAACAATTTGTATTAGTTACGTGCGGAAGAAGTTTTTATTTATGCGTGTATTTTGAATTTATTCGTATACGTTACTTATATTTATGCAAACACTAGCACCGCCCGCGACTCTGTCTGTGAAAGTGTTCTTCCAAACTATGTTCTATATGTATGCCAAATTTTATCAAGATCCGTTCAGCCATTATGGTGATATAAACTCCATCCATCCATCTAAACATTCGCATTTATAATATTGATAGGATTTACGTATTAGTACGTGAAGTATGTATTTACTTGATTTATAGTTTTTATTATAAGAATATTAATGTGAGAAACTATATATTTTGTAGTTAAACCCTTAAGTTCTTTTAGTAAAAATGATTTTTTTTTACAACATTGACAATAGAAATTAATTGTTTTGTTAACAATATGAACTTGACATTGACGTTAATCTAGAGAGACGATCAAATTAAGCATCAACTCTCCAATTAGAGCACCGCACCACATAAACAACACATTTCTCAAGATTTTTATCTAATATTCAATATTTTTATAACTGTCAACTCCTTTTTTTCATAATGCTTTATGAATACTCCACGACACGAGGAGTACGCGGTAGTTATGTGGGATTCTCTTCCGGATGGGAAGCATACCCACTAAGCCCCTCTGTTCCTCCTACGCATCATGGCGAGACCACGGGCAAGCTTGCGTTTTCGTCCGCGACCTCGCCTGCATAACAGTCAACTCGTAATTGTAATCTCCACATAGTTGCCATTAGCTAATTCATTTTACAATATTATTAATAAAATATTATATAAACATACTTAGTACATATTTTAATTATTATGTAATAACAATCAAACAGATCCAATTATTAAAACAAGCTAATTCTATGGAAAGCCAATAATTGTTAACAAAATAAAGAGAGTCAAAACATTTTGAACTAGTTTATTTGGTACCCGGCAAGTAGAGTTACTCAAAGTTGAAATTATAGGGCTTTATAAGGCTGTTGAAACTATTTTTGCTTATCCTAAGAAGTCATCATAAGAGCGTCGGTGGCCCAGGGGTCAAGCACTTGACTTACAATCTGCAGGTCTTGGGTTCGAATCCCGCCATGTACCATTGTGTTTTTCGATTTCCGATTTATATATGTACATTTATCCGACGTTCTTACGGCGAAGGAAATCATCGTGATGCAACCTGAACATATCTGAGAAGAAATTCAAAGATATGTGTGAAGTCAACCAACCCGCACTTGGCCAGCGTGGTTGACTATGGCCTAGTCACCCGTAACTTAGGGTAGACTCCGTTGGGGACGTATGATGAAGAAGTCACCGTCAGAATGTAACACCGTGTTGTAAATTGGTTTTAATACTTTTAAAAATCGACGTTTTCACAGCGTTAAAAACCTCGGAACTATATTCATGGATCTACGGCTTATCTAACACGAATATAACGCATTATGTCTGTAGTTTATTGTCGAATAAAATGCCAAGAGCTTTATAGACATCAACCGAATCACATTTATATTATTCTGTTTAGGGCGAATCGCTGAAAGTGGATCTTGCAATGGAGATTATCTTTGGGTGTGTTTTATCTATTCTTATTGCTAAACGATTTTCAACCATAGGATGTAAGAAGGTAAGTTGGAAATTGTATGAGGTGGTAATACCTCGTTATAATAAAAGATAACCTCAGGTATTTTAGATTAGTGCTGACAGTAGATTCGTAAATCTCAAAGGATATATTTTAGGTGTCGTACAATTCTGACTTATTGAGGCAATATTATTGCTTTTTATATATTAGATAAAAATATGATGTTATAGGTACATTTATGACGGCAATATAGTTCATTTACATGTAGACGAATAGATTAAATATTTTATTTCATCAACAACAACATAACTCACTCCCGTAATCCACAGGCAAAGCACAGACCACGGAACTCTATGGCACGGTCCTGACACAACTCTCTTGCTTCTTCTACATTCTTATGTTTACGCTTACATGCACTTTATTTCCTTAAAAACCTAAATGTTCTGATAGGAATAACATTTGTATGTGTAATTTGAACCAACGTTCTATTGTCGTATATCACTCACATACTCATTATCCGAGTAATGATTATAAAATTTGACACTCTGTATCGTATGCGAATAAAATTTATAGTAACCAATTTATAATATCACTTAAAGCCGTTCATTTTCCCCGAAACATTTAATTAAGTCCGACCCACGCACGTTTCCGCGCAGGCCAATTAATTACATTGCAACCTATGAAGCTTCACTATACATAAAATACTTATATATCAAACGTATATACTAAGAAAGTGTGTCATTAAAAGAATCCGAAACGATCAATCATACAGATGACTGTAGTAAAAACGCGAGGTATGTTATCAGATAGACATCCCCTATCACTGCCTACTCCTCTAGCATGCATAGCATCATACGGTGACTTTACATTCTTACTAGATCAAAATTCTAGATAGCAAGACAATATTTTTCGGTACCTATTTATGTGTCTACAGTAGAAAATAAAATTTAATTGAACCTAAAACTAAACACTGCTCCACTATGTTCAACTACCCATAGTGAACCTTGTAATACAATAAAATAAAATTAGCAACACAACTGTACAATTGGTGTTAGTACAACGTTTAAATTGCATTAATAGGCGTAAGCTATAATACTTTGTATAGGCACTCTGAAGCTCAATCGCTCACGCGTTAGCCTTCAACAAACGCAAAGCGAGCCGAGTGAGGTATTGATTGATCGACCTCGGGCCCGGCTGCATCCAAGCATAGCAAGTGCACATTACTACGATGCTAAAACTCACACTGTTCTCACTCTTATATAGCTAAATAAGTGCTTTTCTATTCCCTGAATTTTAAGCTTAACCTTACAAGGCTCTAGTTTCATAGCTATAGCTGTAGGAACGATAAAAATCAGTTTTCTACACACAGTACTGGGTTCTTTGTATTGTTAATACCTATCAATAATCAATGATATACCAAAGCTGTATTCGAACTTCGAAACTGCAAACTTCGAGTGATAAAAAAGTGAGAACCCATAGTAATGATAAGGGGTTGTAAAACAAGAGCTTTGTATTCGTACCTTTGTGGCTATAATAATATAATATTATGAATGTGACAGTTCGTTGAGCGCTGGAGATAGCAAAATGTACCTCATTGGATGTAATTGTTTCAGATAAAACGTGGTAACTGGCAATCTTGAAAAGAGGGTCGTTTCAATTCTCCTTTTCAACGCAAATACGCATATTTTCATCCAAATACTGCTAGAAATTCTTTTGAGAATTTTACATATAAAGTAAAACCCAACAATCAGCTCCTATTAAAACTTTGTCAACGTAGTAAATGGTTAAAAGAATTAAACCTCAAAACATCATTTTAAAAATAATCATTTAAATAACCGGCTAGCATAGAATTTCTATTTCTTTTCTAATCAACTGGAATAATATAAATGCTTGACCTACATTTCCCAAATTATTTACACTGAAATCAACTAAAAATAACACGGACGGGTTTCTAATATTTTAATTGAGGCTATTGTGCAGATGCCAAGTGCTATCTTAATTCAAAATTAATTAGATTTAAGAGAATAAACAGTTAAGTTGAAATATTGAAAGCTGGCTCATTTTGTACCATTTTAATATTATATTTGCAATAAAATTTTATGCAATTCTTATATTATTAAGATCTTGTTATGGGTTACTATTTGCTGAATAAACTACGTATCTATACTTACATGTAGTAAATATTATAAAGAAGAAAAATTTGATTTTTTGTTTGCACTCCGAAACTATTGAACCCATTAGAAAAATTCTTTAACTGTTGGGAAGCTACACTATCATATGTGACATAAGCAATTTTAATTACTAGATTTATTTATTCCGTGCGGACAAAGTCGCGGACAACTGCTATGCTTTATCCAGTTATTTGTTTATCTAATTTATTTTATAGTACAAAGCGGCTAACGAGCGAACCGTCACAAATAGACTATAGATATTTAAAACAAGGTAAAAGATTTTGTTATCAGCCTTAATTTCTGAGAAACGTATAATAGTTCGTGTTACTAGATTTGCGTACTTCTCTAAAGCCGGATTATTGGTTACAATAAAAGCTCCGTTTGGTCTAATTCGTGAGAATCTCATCACTCGAGCGTCTGTAACGTTTTGTTCGCACGATATAATTCACCTCCAGCCTCGTTACTCCAAATGTTATTGTATGAAGTTAACCATTTACTGTAAAGAGAAGTGTTCTAATGTGTATATGAAAAGTATTCATATGTTTTTATCACTTACATTTATATTGTTTGTATTGTTATTGTAATTTGAAGACGTTACCTAAATGATAATCGATTTCAGTAAACTTTTTATCAGCTATCAAATGGCTAGAAGAACAAAGGGCATCTTTTAAATTCCGCCTTTTTCGTACTTCTTACTAATATTATAAACGCGACTGTTTCGATGGTGGATGGATGGATGTTTAGATGTATCTCCATAACGGCTCCATGGGTCTCAATAAAATTTGGCATACATCTAAACATCGTTTGGATGAACACATAGGTTAATATATTTTTTTTTCTTTTCGCGCGGACGGAGTCGCTGGCGTCAGCTAGTGATACAATAAACATGGGAGTATTCATAGCACCGGTCTGAGCCTATGTAAACTTTCTGTTTTCAGATTAAAGGCACCTCACGTTCTGCGCTAGTAATTTCGGTTCAGAGATGACGTAAGTTATTCACTTAGTATTCAATCATCTACATACGTAAGGCCTTAAGCAATTTACTTAGATTGCCTTGTAAAAGAAGTGAAGTTAGAAATACGTGACTTGAATCTAGTTTTCATGTCATAACATGTCTTCATGAAGTCTTTTTCTTTAATCACCGTGAATATTTTTGGTTGCAAATTGTTTAAAAATTTAATAACAAAAACAAAAGTAAAATAAAAAGAAAAAATATTTTGGTTTTTATTTCAATAGAAGTATATTACGTGCTTTATTTAAACATAATTTTAGCATATATTTAATATGCTGTAAGTTTTGAAAATACGTCATCATGGAAATTTAAAAATGGAGCTCCGTGATCATCATTATTTTGTATTACGACGATAATAAGGTACATCATTTTGCGCGAAATAAAAAAAAAACTTAGTGAGTAGCCTATGTGGGAGTAAGGGGTATGAGACCAACATCTTTTTCATGGCAAATGTCAACCTGCACGTGGTACCCTGTTGAACAACGGACCAGGCTCTGACGACCGATCAGTCTGACGGAATAATCAGACTTGTACGGATTTATCACCTAATATCCGAGGATTTCCCTGACTCAAGAGGGTAGGTTTTGGTGTGTCAGATGGATGTCAGATCAAACTTCGCCAAATCTTCTGGGTGTAAGATGGATAGGTTACAGAATATAAAAACGAAGACGGATTGGGATAGCTGACCCCACCACCTTGTGGAATGCAAGCTAGGCAGAGAAAGAGAGAGAGAGTAGCCTTTGTGTTAGTCTAGACTATGTTTTCGAAGGTTTTTTGTTTCAAACGAACATCTTTCCATCAATAAAGTAACATAAAACAAAAATATGTAGCAAATTACATAATCAACTTATACGGTCCACATTCGGGCAAAAAAAAAACTCTACTTAATATGACTATGATGGATGTAGACTGGACGTTACTTTTTTTTATGATAAATTACTATTTCCTTGGCAGTGGAAAATTCGTATCGTGACAAGTTTTTCTAGCTTATCATTTGTCACTATGGTACTACTGTAAAGAAATAAAAATTGCAACGACTTTGAATAAATTTTCCAAGTTTATCCAGCTTATTTTGTCAATATGTTATTTGGCAAAGTCAAAAATGTTATAAATCAAGTAAAACATGTTTGCAATTTTGTATGCAGACAAAAATGTATTAATCAACCTTTGCTAAAGTATACACAGACATTTTAATGACAAAATGTCCACTATCATATAAGTACATTGCTTAAAATTGCCATTAATTTTTTCCCTGTATCTCTCTTTACCCGTATCATCTCTTTACCTTGACCAGGTGTATATGTCTATCAATAAATACCACACTTCATTTCTACATATTATGTTGTGTAATGACGCGAAAAATGGAAGGTTAAATCAGATGTGATCGTACGGTTAGCATAAAAATGTAATAATTTGTATACTATATAAATTAACACATCGACTACTTTATGACTTTGGTATTAATACAAAAAATCAGAATATTACTCAACTATTGTGACTTCTAGAAATCTGCATATCTGACTGTCTAAACATCTCATCTTTTAACAATAATTGAAGGAGTTGATATGTTAATGAGACTCGGATATCTAAGAACTGAGTTCAAAATGAAAATAATAATAAATAAAGCAACACAATAAATAAATCTGCAGGATACAGTCACTATTAGATAATAGTATGGAGGAAATGTAATTTGTTATGTTATTTCGTGCACTTTCTCTGCTGACTGTATGTACATTTTGTATCAGCGTCCTTCACGCCTGTCGCACGCGTTAAATCTCCAATATCGACGTGAACATGCCGACGCTAATTGAATTCTCATTGTTTGTATGGACGTAGTGTCTTATGGGTTTGTCTATTTTTGAATAAAAGAGAAAAAATTCAAATTTTAAATGATTTTTATGAAATAAATTATGTTCTTTAAAATAATAAATAATTTTAAAGTTTAAAAATATTAAAATTATGAAATTTAAATTGTAATTTTTTTCTATTTCTGTTTTTAATTCTTTATTTTTATTTATTTTCAATTTAAATTAAATTCTAGTGATTTAATTCTTTAATTTGTATTTGAGTTTTGAAATTAAAATTCATGACAATTTCAAGTGGTCAAAAATCTTTTATAGATCTTAGTGAAACCTAAAACGAATATTTCTAGTTTTTCTTTGTGGTCTGAAATTAAAAAATACCTTATCAATGTTTTTGCTTCCCTAGAAACAATTAAGCTAAAAAATTAAGTACATTATGAATGTTAATAGGAAATTACTTAGTACTAAATCTCCGTTGAATTTCATCATAAAAGTAGCATGACAATGACAAATATCACAAAAGAATCGATTAGTCATCTCCGACTGACAACCGATGTGTGTGAAAAATGGTCGTCAGCGTTGCGCGACATCTGCTGTCATTTTAGTGTTACCATTTATAAAATGTTCTTTTTATATCACTCATTCATCATTAAATAGATTTAACCTTTTAATTAATTTAAAATACTTCAAAGTCGTTCACCGGTCCTTTATAAGGTAAATTAATACGAGAAATTATAATACATATTCACGTACTAAATTACTAAACACGTGAAGCGAAAACTTTGCACCGCTTTTTTAGAAATCGTGCGAACAGATAAACGTGAAATTTGCATAGACACCTATTCATAAAACGATTTATAATCTTACGAATATTATGCACAAGTTTAGATGTATCCATGGATGTTTTTCAGAAGGTGTCACCAAAAGGACTGCATGGATATCGCTGAAAGGCATAGTCGGGAAAACCAAATAGGCTAGTAATTACGTTTTTTTTAATTCTGCGCAAATGAAGTCGCGGGCAATTGTTAGTCAAGAATAAATTAATTTGTTTATGAATTATGATTGATTTTTAATCAATAAGCCACCGATTGTTTCAATATTAAACAACATTAGTAATAAATAATTTTACCATAGTTAATTATGAAAACCAGTGTTGCATTTACGTCATATAGAAAAGAGCGTAGTTAGTTGCAGGCTATAAATTACTTTTATTACGCACCTAAATGAATTAACCAGTTAATTAAACCAGGCTATTTCATTATAAAGCTAAAGCGAAGTGATCAGAATAAATTTACATACTTTAACGCGACTAAAAGTTTACTGGTTGTAATATGAGAATTGGTCGCTATGTTACATAGACAATTTTTAGAACTCACATTGACAAAGTCAAAATAGATTCAAATGTGTATTTTTTTAATTGACATATAATTTTATCTTTTAGTATTTTATTGCCTTCTTTAGCGTCTTAATGGATTACCAAAGTTATATATATACAGTGGTTTAGAAAGCACAAAACATTTTTATTATTATTATATTAAAACGAACAAACTAATTTGTACGGCCAAATTGGACGTCCTAAAATAGCGTCTATTCCATCACTTTAATAACTCTTCACGTACACAAAAGGGTGTGTTGTGAGTGACCGCATTTTGTTAATTAAGCCTCCTCCGTTGACGCAGAAGGGACCACAAGAAATCTGATAAATGAACCTAATCTACGCGCCGCTACGACATGGCGCTACGACGCGCCGAGCGTAGCTATAATACCTCAAAGGAACATATATATTTACAAGATGAATTACCGCATCATTTCTATGTATTCCTCTCTGTCTTAACTTTGCTTTAAAAATAAATACATACTGGATAAATTATACAGCGTGTCTCGTAAATATAATCCTGAAACCGACTATAGTTTACCCAAGGGTTCAGAAAAATAAAATAAAAAATAATTTCAAGGCGGATCACAAATTGCGAATCTTTTTTGTAATTTACTTTTTTGTAAACGTAAAAAATTAACTTAAATAAGTGGTTTAATCGTTTTTCTCTACAATGTTATAAAATGTTTCTTAGCATGATGGTAAACAAGAAAGGATGGTTGTGTGAATTTACAATTTTTTTTAAGTATTTACCTTAATTTAAAGTGCGAAATAATTTATACAGAACCTTTTTAATGGATTAGTTATTTAAACACTTCCAACTACTTGCGTTATAATATACCTAATTAAGCATAAATTTACATACTAGTGACGTCACAGTAAAGCACGTCATATAAATTGGCTCCTTAACTTAAGCAGTGTCGTTGCAAGAAATAATTTAGGCAGTTAGCAAGCGCCTGTCGGAGCGACGCCGAATATAAATTAGTGTTGATCTCTTCACTACGAAGTCACTCATAAACTTTTCAAAGAGACCTTATTAACAAACAAATACTTTGATGAAGTAATAAATTAAAGATATTTTATGTCAAACACAAACCAAAAGAAATTTACACAAAGTTTAGTTAATTATATTTTTATTAAACAGACAAAAAAGCGCTGATACTTGTGAACATCTCATAAAGGAGAAATACTCTCTATACAAAGACCGGGAGTCTTCTGTGAATATACCCAAAAACTAGAAATTTAAGATATTGAATTTAATTTGTACGCATATATGTTAAATTCTATACATATTTGATTTTTCTTTCAAACAAAATGTTGGTGCAAAACAATAACCCATTCGAGAGATTGGAAGATTAACTACATTGTCAGTATCATTATAGACAAGCCGATTTAAAATACACATTATAAAGACTTGTCATATTTTCAGGGTTCTGCAACTCGAAAGAACAAAACGGAACCTGTTTACCAATTTGTTGTTTGTCCGTCTGTCTGTCAAGACCCTTTTTGTATAAGTACAGGATAATATAACTCTCTCAGTGAGCTGGGGGCCGCTTCCGCGAAATAATACCAGTGCCACTCATCCTGATGAAGGGCCCCCGATGGGCTCGAAACTAGTCGGTGCCGCCACCGGACGTATATACGTGAGTGTTTAGCCGTGTTTATATATCAGTTTAGTATAATGTCTCACAAAAGTTTGAATAATTTAATATAACTCTAGTATTTAATATGCATATTTACAATTCATATTACCATCGATCCGTTTGTACCTAGTTTAATATTATAAAAGTGATAACAATATAGTGTTACTTTATCGGAAAATGATTAGTTCACATTATCTTATCAGATATTTTTACTTTACCATCAAAAACATCGCACTTATCTTTATCTCTTTTAAAAATAGAAACAAAAACATGTATTAATAATACGCAGTATGTATTACGGTGAATGAAATCATTGAAGAAATTCAAAGATATGTATGAAGTTAACCTAGCAGCAGTGCCAGCGTTGTTTAACTACGGCCTAGTCATCCCTAACTAAGGTAAGGCTCTGAGCTTATCTTCTGCAGTATAAAATCAAAGTTATATTGAGTTACAATCGAATCATAGTCGCTACCAGTCACTGCCCACTGAAAGACTTGAGCCTCCTCTAAGTTAGACAAAAAAGGCAAAAGTTTAAACCTTAGAGTACAAATATTCAATAGTTTGATTACCTTTGAAAATGGCAAAATTGTTTTCACAATTTATTTATACAAATTACCTTTTAAATTACACAACACAATATTTTTCAAATAAGGGGACAAACAAACTGTTTATCGTTAACATTCAGATATCACCGACACCCATGATTGTATGCAACTCAGAAAATGTGCGGCCCTAAAGTATCTACACGTATAAGTTATAAGCTTATAAGGTAGATTCGATGTATACAATGACCCTAAAAGTAACCGGATATTAAGGTGAAGGTAATATATCAGGCACCTTCCTATTTGCGACGCTTTGATGTCCAAATCAATTACCTATACACAGTACTTCAGTGAAGCAGGATGTTGTAGCTAAAATCAATTTATGTTACGAGATGCTTCGCTTACATGTTGTGTGTTTCATATGCTATTTTAAAATTAAATATTTTATGATTTTAATTTCAGTCCTAATTTGACTAATTTATGTATAGTTATCTAATAAATATTATGGACGTCAACGTAGTATCGTTCAACAGTGGTAGAGCCGGCTTTAACATCTTCGCACGTATTGGTCCGGCTCGCCCGGTGAAATACCATGACCACACAGAAGACAGGCGTCAAGTGGAATCAATTCCGCGTTTCGCCTGATGTGAGTCCCGAAGGCCTAATTTTTTCTCTTCCCACCCTTTTTCTTATAAGGAAAGGATGGGAAGTGGAAGTGGACATTCCGGATGAATATGCATAGAAAGGGAAAATATTTTCTTTCTGTGCATCTTTCCTCCGTCGATTAAAGGTAGGCAACGCATATGCAATTGCGTATGTCTATGGGCAACGATCACTTCGCTATTTCAGCGGTTTCAGGTGGCTACACGCATGTTTGCCGCCCTATGACATAAAGAAAACGTGGTTATAAAAAGAGTATGTTTTACCCTTAATATGTATCACCAAAACTGTAGTCAAATAAAATTACGTAGTTATAGTACAGTTTTGTATATATAACTACGTAATTTTATTTGACATATCACATTCTAGAAATATACATTTTTATGTATACAAAATATCTTAACCCTGTCATTGAAAATGTTTCCAAAATAATATTCGAGGGTTTTGAGATTTTTAGTAATAAAAGAAAGGAATTCCGCCTTTGACCTTCGACCAAAATACGCACCTATATTTATAGGCTATCAAATATTTTATGTATGCGCTTATAACAAGAAATCTGAACGTCGCTCTGAAGTTTACTTTGGTAAGCTATTTAATTATATTTATAATTCAAAATTTCACAATAATTAATTTAATATGAATATATCTCCTAAAAAACTAAAAGGGATCCTTGTACCCCAATCTAATTTATTTTATATAATTTCAAACGAAATATGTAAAGAATTCCAAAAAATATTTAATACTTTTACTGCACGCTTTTAAAACAAAACAATAACATATTGTCGTGAGTTTCCGAAACCAAAATCTCCATCCTTGTCATTATCTCTAACAAAGTAGAGATAGCAATAAGTTCTAAATAGGGATTTTGACCTCAGAAACTCACGATATTTCTCTGTATATGAAGTCTGGAATAGTTTATGAAACTCTCGAATATTCGAACTCAATATTGTCAATAAGAAATTTAAAGTTATTGAAGATCCGGAATGTCGGTTAATTAAACAAGTTTGTAGACAAGCTCTTTGTGGATTAATAAAACCACGGATATATACGGATTACCAAGAAACTATATATATCGATTACGGATAGTACTATAGGCGAATTCGGAATACTTTGAAACTTTTTAATAGCATTTTATGAATTTTTTCAAAAGTTTTTATTACATACTAGCTATCGCCCGCGACTGTGTCCGCGCGTAATTTAAAAACTTAATTAGTATCCTATGTGTTCTTCCACACTATGGTCTACGTCTATGCCAAATTTCATCAAGATCCATTGAGCCGTTTCGGAGATACGTTCTTATAAACATTCTTCTTATCATTCGCATTTATAATATTAGTAAATTTACTGGATAAAATTATGTTTGATCTATTAAATATTAATATAATGTTTCCATATATTCTCAATATTAGTGTAGTTTTTTTTACTTAATTCTGATTATATTTTCATAGTTTCCAGTTTGCCGTACTCCCCCCATTCAATAAACAATGCAGCCTTTGTCCGCGGGGACCAATTATATTGGATCGAGGACACATTTTTAAAATTTCATAACTCTCCCCTCAATGGATAAAACATTCAACATTTCCTCCACTTTGATGTCGGTCCTCTGTTACGTAACGTTGCATGACAAAATAATTTCCGTACTGTAGCATATCAATTTGCTTTTTAATCTTTATTTTGTACTAGCTGACGCTAGACTCCGTCCTCGCGGAATTAAAAAAGCATAGTAGCCTACATATATTATATGTTCTTCCAGTCTTTGCTCTATATGTATGTCAAATTTGATCGCTATCCATGCAAACAAGAATCATCCATCTAAACATTTGCATTTATAATATTAGTAAGAAGTCATGAGAAAAGCATGAAAAGTTTTATAGTCGCAACTGTCTCAACCAAACTTAAATTATTCAATAGTATTTTTAAACGCTTTGTTATAGGATTAAGACATGGATTAATAAATTGTTATGAGTAAAATCAAATTGTATATTGAAATCCTATGAAAACAGTACAACCATAAAGTAGTATAACGAAAATTACGCATCACAAACACGAGGATTCTTAAGAAAAATTCCAATGTTTTATTGTCTTCCTCAAACGTCCTTGGTCCCTTTAAGTAATCTGTGATTTATTGCACTCGTAAACAAAGTCTTACGATGTTTACGTCAGTAGAGTTGTGTTAAAAGATAGTCAACTACTACTAAATATTATATTTACTGTCCATTTTTATTATAATTATCAAGTATAGTTAATATAAAATATTGTATACAGGATTTTTTTTAAAGTAAAAAGTGGCAAACAAGGAATTAACCACCTGTTTTTACAAAAAATTGCAAAGCGACCGCTGCCCTCAGACATCTCCAGTCAGTTGTAGTTGTTTGCCTACCTTTAATGAACAGAGAAGTAAACGTATTATAAGCCATTATTCTCGTGCCATCTATGTCCCTTCCCCCGTCGAGTACAAAGTACCAGAATATAAAAAAAAACTGTAAACTAAATAAAAGGAAAAGTCGTAGATTTACAATTTTCCAGACATTATTAAAAATGTGAAGTGAGAGGAAAATTTCAATTTCTTACAAACGCAATGATCGTACAAATGAGCTGTTTAACTTGACTGTCGCTTTTAGAAATAAAAAATTAAGCAAGTTGTTGCGCGGAATAAAGATTAGGTACAAAATTATATAAAGACCTTATTTCAAATTGTAATTCAATAAGAATGCAAAATGTAAATATAAAATATTCATTAAAATATAAGAATTTACCGCGTATTATTGTATCGATGGAAATTAAAATTTTTAAGGTTTATATTTATTATTTAAAACATTAACAATTGAATTAACAAGTTCAAGAAGATTATTAGGAAAGAGGGAAAGGCAAAAGTGTTATTTTAAAATATTAACACTGTTTCGGTAACACAGCTCTATAAAATAAGCGAATATAATATTGAAGTTGTTTGTATTTGTTTTGTTTTTTTACGAGAATGATAGAGAAGACAATTTGTTTTTTAAACATGTAAACATGCAACAGTAAAACAGTACAAAACAGTAAACCCCAACAGCAAGGTTATTGGTCCACATGAGAACTTGATGCGTAATCTAAAACTCATAAGAATTGTTAATAGGTACTTAATAAAAGATCTAAAAATTAAACAACAAGACGTAAAACAAACACCTCGACGCAAACCGACTTAATAATAGAAAATACGAGGAGCTAAATATAAATGAAAACCTGACACTTACTCAACAAAGGTCTTTCAATTAACGAGTTATAAAGTTCCATCAGGCGCTTCGAGAATGGCTTGATTTGATGGAGAGCCTTATGTAAAATATTCGCCGAATTCCCTTGTTCGGGCATTTCAATCAAATTTATTGAGCGCGCCGAAGTCAGGTGTAAATTGGTTTAAATTAAGCATAAATCAAATGAATTATAAAGCACTCTAAAGTTGATTAAGTCATACAATAAACCTTTTTATTGAATATAGTTCTTTTAGATTGATTTTTCTCAAATACGTTGTTCATACAATAGTCAACTGACACATCGTGTTGTCCTATGATACAAGACTTCAGTCTGCTGTCCTTTTACATATATTCCCTTCTTTTCATTTTAGAAAAAAAAAACTGTAGGTCATCTCCCTGACCATGTCCCACTTACAATGGATCAGCTCACCAGATTTCTGTACTCCAAGTCCAAAAAATATCTGAAAGTAATGAAGTAAAGTTGATTAAATAAATCGGAATCATAGTAGACTGAACTTGTCCAACCGTCTACAATTCATCGCAGTCCCTTTTAAACTATATAACAATATAATTTTCTTATTCCACAGGTAGCAAGAATGCGGTCTGATTAGATAAGATAAGTTATGACGCGGGCCGCGCTCGGATACGACGCGAAAATGTTGCAGGAATTCCAATTCACGGAAATTGTAAGACCGTCGAGAGATCTGAATGAAATGAGAAATTTAATTTAAAACTTGAGATGTATAATGTTGCTGCCGGTAATGAAAACTTCTTCGGCATAAACTAAGTGCTATAACGACTTACTGAAGTAGTTCAAAGTGTAGATAAGTCAAGTGGACATTTTATAGTTACAAAACATTAGTAAATAGTGAAACTGTGTCTAACTTAAAACAAATGTTATTACAAAGTTAGTACTGGAAGTGTGGAGAAGTGATTAACGGATAAGTAATTTTATTGTTGGTTAGTTGGATGATGAAGTGAAGTCATGGGTTGTCAATTGGGTAAGCTAGCAGCGTCAGAGAGGCGCGGCGCAGGCGCGTGCACAGGTCCGGCGCTGACGGACGCGCCGCCGCCGGCCACAGACCCTCGGTTGCCACTCACCGCCAAGCAGAAGTACTCCATGTTGGCCTCATGGAAAGGCATCTCAAGGGCAATGGAGAAGACAGGCATCTGCATGTTTATCAAGTAAGTATTCATGTATCAATATTTCCGAATTGTGTGGATTATTATTTCTTCTTTATATATGATTTTTTATATGTCTTAATTAAAATTTATTTTTATTTTGTATCGTAGTGTCATAACTATGACGGTCAACATATTTCTTTATGACAAGCATCAAATTTACAAAAGATATTTACTATCATATTTGACTTTGACCTTGATTTTTTTTGGCGTAAATATAATTATTTTTATGTATCGTTGTAAACGATAACCAAAGTTTTGTTGACTCTGACGCGAACCGTTTATAAGCAAGAATAAAGACGGCATTGAGTCTCCCAGACGACAAAGTTTCAAACGCCCGAGGCCTTAAGAACAGAAACTCATCAGAGTTGAGCAAATCTAAATATTAAAATACAAACATGGAAATTAAAATTATATTTGGGTTAAGCACATCTCTACAACTTTGTATAAATCATATATAGTAAGGGACGTTTATTTGCTACCCGTTTCAATGAAACTTTAGTTGATCTCAGAGTTTATTAATCGTATAGACTATGGCCTAGTGATTGACTTAGGGTAGGCTCCGAGCCCCTCTGTGGGGACATATAGTGAGCTGATGATGAAGTATTGTTCTATTTATTATGTTTAATTACTCATGTTTAAGAATATTTATTTATATTTATTAGTCATGTAATTTTTAAGTATTTAGCTATAATTACTTAGTTTATGGTTATTGAAATTCTCTCCCAAGTATTGCTGGCGACAGGCTGGCGGCCAGCCAAGCCAAAACATTAATATAAAAACCATTTGCTTCGACCCAACGTTAGTATAAGGCTAGGGAAATGATGAGTTTCTTAATCACATAAACATTCGCTTAGTGGAGTATACTCACACTAAATCAACACTGAGGTTATCACATATCGACTATTAAACTCTTGGAAGGGGTGGCAGTTAAAATTTAATTTTTCTACTACGTAACTTTTTATTATTTGTTAAGGTGATACAGAAATGACCAGATATGCAAAAACTGCCACTTAAGCTTCAATCTCCTGTGACTATAAACGGGTTAAATTTAGCTTTGTAGGTCAACAGGGGTTGTTAGAGGCCCGACACAGCCCAGTGCGGCCCGCTACAATGTACAAAGTCTTTGTATTCAATAATAGAATATCTTCTTTGACGTTGTACTGAATCAAACAAGGGAAAAACTATTCGATACCCTTAGACTAAAAAAAAAACTTAAGAACAATATTACATTTTGTGTGTCAAATATTAACAACCATGTGTTTGTGATTTTGAACGCTTTCGATTATTGTAAACAATTTCCTAGCACAAACAAGCTGTTGCCCGCAATTCCATTTAAATTAAAAAAAAAATTGTAGTCTATGCGCTTTACCAAACTGTTATTAATACTATTTCATATTTCAACCAGTTCCGATGATTGGTTCTGGAGTTTCGTCATAACAAAGATCCATTCATCTAAACTATCGCATTTGTATTAGTAAGATTATATATAATATGCTATTATTTTTTATTAAAAAAGAAAATTATAGTTGCTATTTCACTCTATATTCTGAAGAGTTTTCATTTTATGAATTGAGGTTTCCTTTTCTAAAAAGTTTTTAAGCGTTTTAAGGCTATTATGTTCTTTAAAAGCAAAACAGTTTTTGAATAGAATTCAAGAAGGCGTTATGAATACAAGCAAACGCTAACTAAGTTTTGAGCTGCCGAGTACCGACCGCAAAAAAAGCGACGAAGTTAATTAAGTTACAGGGAACTGTTGTTCCTGGTATTAAAAAGTTTAGCTCTTTTTTTACATAATTGAATTTTAGAATAGAAATGTTATGAGACAAAGATATTAAACTGAAAACAAAAGAGTAATGAGCAATTTAGTAAAAAGAAAAATGAGATTGTCGTATTACTTGGCTAACGGCATACTACAAAAAAATCAACGTAGCGTGTTGGCAAAAATTTAAATTTACAAGAATTTTACAGAGATTCATACACGATCATCCAAATTAACTTGCTATTTCACACATCGCTGTGTACCCTAGGCGCTCACACAAAGGAAATATTATCTTAAGTATTACTAGTATATAATATTGGCATGTGGAAAAAAAAAACTAAGCGCCTGTAAAAAAATATTGAATATTTCAAATGTTTCCGTTGCTAGGCAAAATAATTAGGCGCCTACAATTTAATAAATAAACATATTTCCATTTTTTCTTGTGCATTGATATAAAAAGTTTTAATGATATCGTATAATTGAGTTCCTCTTCAGTTCAGGGACAAATATAAAATCAGACAATACTAGTTTAACAGTTGTATTAACAGATGGCGCTCACAAAGTTCCTAAATGCAGCTCTCGAATGGCGACCGCAAACAATCTGATCAAACTTTGTCATGTCCCTTGCCTCTGTTTGTATTTCCCTAATTAACTGGCTTCGTTTTGTTTGAGAACTTTCGTTTATTGCTTTCCTTTTTGAACTCGTACCAAAATAATACTTGAATATTATTATTTATGAAATAAGTTTAATTAAATAGTTTCTATGATTTCTTTAACACAAAAACTAGTGATTTCTTTTTAATGCATTTCTTAACTTTATCTTAATTTTGTTTTTAATAATTGTAAATAGATTGTAATTAGAAATCAAACTCATGGTATACCAATTAGTTGCTTAAAATTGTGTTCGAAGTTTTTTTTTTATAATTTACTGTATATAATTCACTTTACTTCACTGTGTATCTCAGGCAGAAAATCTTTAAAATGTAAATATTTCAACTATTGAAATGTACTGCAACTTGAATGCACAAATGCAAGTCGCTATGAAATGAGCGGAAAATTATTTTCTCTTACATTTTCCAGTCTGTGATTTCATTTGAAACCTTTTGATATTTCTTTGCTCCTTCTTTTACTTTTAATACTTTAGTATTTTTATCCTTTATTTCTAGATTTCAATAAAATACATAGTAACTGGAGAGTCTGTGGTCAAGCACTTGACTTGCAATCTGCAGGTCCTGGGTTCGAATCCCGCCATGTACCAATGTGTTTTTCGATTTCCGATTTACATATGTACATTTATCCGACGTTCTTACGGTGAAGAAAAACATCGTGATGCAACCTGCACATATCTGAGAAGAAATTCAAAAGATATGTGTGAAGTCAACCAACCCGCATTTGGCCAGCGTGGTTGACTATGGCCTAATCACCCTTAACTTAGGGTAGGCTCCGAGCCCCTCGGTGGAGACGTATAGTGAGCTGATGTTGATGACATAGTAACTTAGATATAGATCCAATTAATTATTTCATCTCTTTATCCACAAAGAAATATTAAAAAATAATATAGAAGAAAAATGTTTCTAACAAAAAAATATAAAAATAAACTCAACAATTTGCTTGTCCTATGAAGAATATCATTTTCATTTGAAATTAAGCGACCCTTCGCAGTTATTCGATAAGTGTACAAAAAAATTCCGGTTGCTCGACCGCCGCTACCGACCTTATAACAGCATATTCATTAAAAACAATGTTACAAATATTTTGACTGTTATTTATTACTCTTATGTATTGTGGTTAGTAAAACACTAACTTAGCGCGGACTGTTTATTCAAGTAGTCACATTAGCGGCGGAGTTCGCCGCTCGTTTGAAAACACGCACTGTGCAGGCGCATACACAACAATAGGGCTAAGTAACATTTATTAAATGGAGTCAGTAATGGTGGTATTTGGTAATTCTAGATGAGTCAGATTACTAAGTATCAAATAAATATTTGCTCGTTTGTCCCCAGCTCTTTTAAAAAAATTGGAGATTACATACTGAATGTGACTTAGTATACTTGTAAAAATTATTATACTAATATACAGGTTGTCCCAAAAGGTTACGTACATAGGAAGGGGGATGATAGGGGTACAATTTTGTAACCAATGACCTACAAATATTGCTACATTAAAAAAAAAGCTATTATGTTATCGTCAATAACCCTTTATCAATATGAAACAAAAAAAAAACAATACAACTAACAAAGATTTTAAAGAAAATTAAAATTGCCCCAGAAGGTGTAAAATTTAAAAAATGCCATTTATTTTTTTAATACCCAGAGGGGACTTTTTATTTTATTTTTCTGGTGACCCTTGTGACCACCCCTATCATCCCCCTTCCTATGTACATAACCTTTTGGGACACCCTGTATACACTATTAGTCGTCATGACTTCGTCAGCGCAGATTTAAAAGAAAACTTAATTAGAAGTCTATATGTTCTTCCAGAATGTTCTACATCTATTCAAAATTACAACGAAATCCGTTGAGCGGCTCTGGAGATAACTAACAATTCATCCATTTAAACATATTATTGTTTATAAAACATATTACTTTAAGGATAAAAATAAAGGATTTGTCTCCATTTTTATTTACAAATTTATTTCGTAACGTATTTGTCGTTACATCAATTCTATTCCAAGTAATAAATTCTATATTCGCTTTAATAAAACTAAATGGAAACAACGAATAAGATAATTTTATTTGTTTTGTTTATATCACGTTTTAGCTAAAGTTTTATTTGTTATACCCTCTTTCAATGTTTTTATATAATCCCATACAATCCACATCGGACAAAGGTTCAGCCGAAATCCAAACGAATTCAATTATCTGGAATAGTATTTTGAAAGTCCAAATGGGGATACATTAGTCTACATTTACAAAGAAAAAAAACCTTCGTAACAGAAAAGTTTCTCGAAAAATTCGTATAAGTCACACGAAATTACTTTTTTTTTAATATTAAAAAGACATTGTAACTAATTTGTTAACCTAGTTAAAGTTCATTCTTGCAATCATATTAAAAAATAACGTAATAAACTAAATAACAAACCAACCAAAGGCATTTTAATATTTCTCATGTTGGTAATTACGATACAACACAATTTTACTGGTAATACTAGTATACTTAATTTGTAGCCTGTGTGTTCTTCCAGACTATGTTCTATATCTATACCAAATTTCATCAAAATTCATGCAGGCGTTCTTCAGAT